TCCTCTCAAGATCTTGGGCGTGCACGCACATGTGCCTAGCATGAGTTTTAGGTTGCCAGATCTGGGACTCGAACCATGGCTGACTACGTGGGAGTCCAGTGATGTAACCATTATGCCATCTGCTGGTCCCCAGGAACCATGGACTTCTAAGCATGTCTCCATTGCTTCTGACATGGGCAAGTCAATCTCAACACTAGTCCCAGAAGGTACTCACCATCCACTCCTAACTTAATCGTACATCCCTAATCAGAAGAGCTGCTCAGTAGGAAGAGAAGCAATATTCATTAGATTTTTAAAATTTAATTGAACATGTACGACAAAGCATCTTCTACAATGCAAGCGCTGTGAGAATGTGGCAGCGAACACTACAAACACTGTCCCTGCCCTGAAGGGGTATATAATCCCCCTAGCAATTAAAGAAAAGCCATGTCATTAATCCATACATTTAGCAATCAGCCTCAGAATGATCTTGCCTTGACTGCATAAATAGCCTGAAGAATAACAAGATTTCAATTGGGATTAAGCTGCACAGTGGAAAAGACAAGTTCAATCAGCCCTCAGTATCTGTGGGGGTTTGATTCCAGGACTCCTGTGAATATAAAACTTCGTGAATATAAAAATCCCTTATATACAGTGATGTATTGAGTCGGAAAAGTCATGACGCATTTTCCTGGTTTTGTATGCAAAAATGCATTATGACTTTTCCAATCACTCAACGGTATTCACATATATAACCTGCCAGCACCCTCCTCCATATTATAAAATCATCTTTATGGTTCTTATAATACCTAACACGATGCAAATGCTATGTGAACAGTTACACTGTACCATTTAGAAGATAACAAAGGGGGGAAAGTGTGTATATGTTCAGTACTCACTGAATTGTCACGGGCCTAACTGTGTAATACATAGCAGAAACAATACATTTCTCAACCACAGTTGGCTGAATCTGTGGACAGGAAGCCTGCAGATACGGAGGGCCAACTAACTGCACAGTAACAGATCAAATATAGGAGACCTGAGGCCTGGTGCATAAGCACTCAAATAATGCTGGATAGTGAAGAGCACAAACATATCCAAATGTACAAACTCACATGTATGTATATGTGTGTTCATTTGCTGTATATAGGATACATATATAGAACATATGTACCATACACACACACTATACATATATACACACATTTATACACACACACACACACACACACACACATATACACACATATATAAATTCATATTGGGTTGTTGGGAAATTCCTAATGCTTTTTTCCATAGAAAAATATGTCATGATTTTCCCAACAACTGAATATATGTAAGCATACATACTATATAAGTGCATATATATGCTTATATGTACTGCACACATATATACATACTATAGTACATACAATGTGTGTATATAGCTCTGTGTGTATATAGAGAGTGTATGTGTATGTGTGCACATAGAGGCGTTTCCAAAAGTTCATGAAAACGTATACTGTGAAAAAAACTGCAGAATTCTTCAAAATTTCAAAACTCTGTAACACCAAAATGAACTCATACTTTAATTCCATTTTTCCACAAACCTGAAGTCCCTTCGTTTATTTGTTTATCTCTATGGAATATAACACTTGATAAGGGCAGGCCAGTGGTTAAGTATTGAGTGTATCCCTGGCACTGTGGCAGGCTCTTCTACACATTAACTCTTCTAATGTACATACTGACACCACAAATTTCAGGCCCACGTCACACGTGAGAGAGGCCAACCAACCGAAGAATCTGAGCTACTGAGCATAAGGGCTACCAATCAAACTGAAGCCCTGGACTGGCTGAAAAGCTTCTAGTTCTATGGCCTAATCTCCATGTGCCAGTAATGATGGCCTTCGGTGATGCGAGAGCTGCAGCATCATGCTCCAAGAGCCAAAAGCCACTGCCTTGCAACTGAAGCCAACATTATTTGTGCTACCGCACAGCCCCAGAGCAGCACAAAGCAGCTCATCTTTGGGAAGAGATACCCTGTAATTTTCTTTCCCAAACTGAGGATAACTTGACGCTGGGTGATTGACAAGTAATCTTGAAGAACTACAAAGCAGCCACTTTCTGCTATTGCTACCATCACTTTGAGCAGGAGAAAACATACTTTCAGACGGCATACACACCACATATAGTGTTCCTGCCTGTTGATGGAGGGCTCTGATATTTTAACTTCATTCCACAGTCTTCTTTCTTCCTCTTTCAGATATAGAATAAAGGCCAATCTATTGAGGTTAAGGGAGGACCTGTCAAAGAGGCTGCAGGGACCAACTGCCACAAGCAAGCCACTGAGGATATGGATCAGGTCTATAAAGAAACTGCAGGGTATGTAAAGTCATGCTCTCGTGTGTAGGAAACCATTGTGGTAAGCCGCACAGGTATTATAGAAAAGCCCAGCCTACAAGGTTGGCCCCTAGCTAATGACTGGAAACTTGGATTTGGGGAGCATTCCCCTCACCCTGATAGAAATGAGCTCACTGTGCCTAAACTTGACCAATAATACAGTTTATGACCACCACCAAATTTCTTTTGAGCAATTGCAATTTTGGTACCTGCTGGGGTGTAAAGTGCCTACATGACCAGCTCCCGATAAAATCATGAGTGCACAGTATCTACTGAGCTTCCCATGCGTTAGAATTCAAAGGAGGAATTCCAGTTTGTTAGAATTCAAAGGAGGAATTTAGCATATCCTGTGACTCTACTGGGAGGAGACTCCTGGAAGCTCATGCTTGGTTTCCTCCAGATTTCGTCTCATCCACCTTTTCCTGATGCTGATGTTGCTTTGTAGTTTTTGCTGTAATAAATCTAAGCCATGAGTCTTACTAGATACTGAGTTCTGTGAATACTCCTAGCAAATCCTCAAATCTGGGGTGGTTCTAGGGACACTCAAATACTCTGTTCCTAAAAAGAATGCCTGTTGATTATTTTTCAAATGCCAAAAGGAATCCGAGAAAAGAGCATGGAATCCTGTCCTAATAACCCCAGGGCATTGGAACAAACTATAACCTAAGTCTTAGTTAAGTGTACCTTGACTGCTTATTAAGAGGTTCACAAGATGACTTAGAAAAAGCACCCAGGAAACCAGCAGTTAGCGTAATGGCTATGTCGCTGGACTCCCACGTAGTCGACCACGGTTCGTGTCCCGGACCCGGTGGCTTAAAACTCACGCCGGGCACATGTGCGTGCGTGCCCAAGATCCCGAGAGGAGAATGGAGGAGAAGGGATTGCGGCATGACCATCCCCCCTGGGGGGGGTGATTTCTCGCTTTCTGTCTCTATGTCTCTCTCTGTCTGTCTGGCGAGCGCATGCGCCCTACAGTGAAAAATCTCTCCAAAAAAAATAAAGAAAGAAAAAGCACCCAGCATCTACGGACTCTTAGCTGATGATGTACTATCTCCAATTGGAGCTCACAATTCCGCTTCAAACATATCCCCAAACACACCTCTTGACTTCTTCCCATCTTGCCTAAGCTGCTAGGCACCTAGACGCTCAAGCCGAAACCAAGGAGTTTCCCTGGTCTTTCTTTCTCTCAGTGCCCTGTGCCCATTTAGGCCATCAGAAAGTCCTGGGACCAGATCTGGAATGTCTCTTTCTAGCCATCCCATTGCCTCTGTTCCAGCTACCACCTCATCAGGTGTACAAAGGTTGCCTAAGAAGGCTTGCAGATTCTTCCAGCCTCAATCTCATACAATCTGAACTCCATTCTGCAACCAGAGAATTCTGAGAGATGGACATCGATGACTTGATTACCCTGCTTCAAAGCTCCAATGGCTTCCCCCAGCACTCACAAACAGGGAGTCATTCCTAAAGTCTACCAGGCCTCCCACGATGGAGTTTCTGCTTGTCCCGCCAATGCTCAGGACACTCCAGCAGCACCGGCGTATCTGTGGCCAAACACACCAGGATCTGTGGCCAAACACACCAGTCTTATGATTCCTGCTTGGGGAACTGGGCACTAGCCAGAGTCTTGGCCACACAGCAGACTGGATACCTGTCACTTCTTATCTCCTCAAAAAAGCCATCTCCGCCACCCAACCTAGTCAAGCTCTCACTCACTCACCACTCGACTACACAGTTTTTTCTCTTTACCGGAGTACCCACCGCCTTCAGGATTGATCTTACCTTTCAACTTTGTCTCCCTGTCACTACTACCTACTTGCATGTGTACTTAAAGAGGTAGAACAGGGTCTTCTGGTGACTGTTGTAGCTTTAGAGCCTAGACCTTTGCATCCCCCACCCAAACACACATTGGTTCATTAACTAAAGTTCAAAAAACTAAGTTCTTGTGATAGAAAAACAATTATGGTACTACCACTGATCTTAGAACAGTTCACAAACTAGTAACTCTAGGTCCTTAACAGCTTTTCATACCCCAGCATCCATTTTCACAGACACTTTTAATACCCAAACAGAGCCCTACATTTAGTAGCTCTAGCTCTTCCATTTTTCAGTCCTACCACCATGCTGGATAATGGACTGACCTATAGCAAACATTAAGTGACCAGCCTGCAGTGTGAACTGTCTTCATCCTCTTTCTTTTTTTAGGTTTTGTGTCATAGGATTCATGGGCTCACTAGAGAAAGAGAATGACAGATACACAGAGAGGCAAAGTGATACATCACCTCCCAGAGGGTTGGCCATGCCATAATCCCTTCTCCTTCATTTTCTCTCAGGATTCTGGACACACATGTAGGCACAGCCAGCATGACTTTCAAGTCACAGGGTCCAGAACTCTAACTGCAGTCAACCACATGAGAATCCAGCACCCTAACCACCATGCCACCTGCTAGCACCCAAGTCTTTATCCTCTTTTTGTAACAGGACCCTCTTACATTCCAACTGGACATGTGACCACCAGCTCGATTACATATTGCAACCTCTCCGGCAGCCAGGTAAGGTTATGGGACAAGTTTCTAACAAACAGGAGGTGAATAGAACCGGCATGCAATTTTGGAACCACATCTTTATTTATTTATTTATTTATTTTCTGTATGGAACACTGCACAAATTTGCCTGCCGTCCTTAAACACAGGCCATGTTAACCTTCTCTGTATCGTTCCAATGCTAGTACATGTGCAGCTGCAACCACATCTTTAAAAGGAAAAGTGGTTATCATCTATATTCATTCCTCCATCCCAAAGGCTGGAATCAGACCTGGAAGTTGTAAGCTGGCTCCTACCATAAAGGCAAGGTGAACATCCCATGAGATGGTAGAACGACGGGATAGGAAGACCCCAAACCAACAAATGACCTCATAGAGAAAAGTCACCCACCTACCCTGGACTGCTTAACTGGAACATAAAAGCAAAATAAACTCTGAACCACTGAATTTTGGAGTCTCCCTCTCAATCGCTTAGCCTCTACCCTAATAAAATTCCTGAAACAAAAAGCCATCAGTATGACAAGAGAGAACAGTGAAAACCTTATCTGAAATACACTAAAATTAAGAAGGCAAAATACTTTTATGTATGCATATTTTGATCCCATAAAGTTATTTAACAGGAACATATAAATAGAACACATTCATGTAATATTATGAATTACAAAACTTTATTATATTACATAAATGTACGCAAGTATCGTGGAGGCCAGATGGTGGCAAAGCAGTGATGTAATGGAACCTACATGGGAAGGTCCTGGGATCACATCCCAGGATAAAGTCCTCCGTCTATGCACCAGGCATGTGTGGCATGCCCCTGAGCAGGGTGGCAAGACAATGGTGGATTGCAGCATGAAGACCTTGTTGGCAGTGTTCGTCTGTGTGTCTTTCTCATAAAAGAAACATTAAACTATTGTGTATATAAATAATTGTAAATATTTTTTAAATGAACTAAACTGTGCCTAAGAAATGCTTAGCAGTGCGTCAGAAGTTAAGTCTAGTTTGTTGGGGCCATTAGTGGGCGTGGTGGTTACAGTGCTAGATCCCACATAGCTGACGCCACAGTTTCATACCAGGCATGTGTGTGTGCATGCGCCCAAATCCCAAGAGGAGAATGGAGAAGATTCTGTGGCATGGCTATCCCTCCTGGGTAGTGATTTCTCACTTTCCTATTCTCTTTGTCTCTCTCTCTCTCTGGCACATACAACCTATAAAAAACATTCTTTTTAAAAAAAAAAAAAAGGATCAAATATCCCTTACCAGAAATACTCAGGACCAGAAGTGCTCTGGATTTTGGGTGTGTGTTTGTTTTTTTTCCAGATTTTGTAATATTTGCACATATATAATGAGATTATCTTGGAGACAGGACCCAAGTCTAAACACGAAATCCATTTATGTTTTATGTATACTTTATACACATGCCTGGAAGCAATCTGCATGATATTTTTGTTCTGCAGTATTTTGAGTGTGAAATTTGCTGCTTGTGGCATCATGTCAGTAGACAAAATTTCCAGATTTTGAAGCATTTCAGATTTCTGGATTAGAGATGTTCAGCCATTCAGTGCTCTTCCTCCCACATAATCATCCTGCCTTGAGAGCGGGTGGAGAATCTACGCTGCTTTTCACAGTCACCCCCACAGAAGTACAGTCATCTCTCAGTTCCCATGGTGGATTGGTTCCAAGATCCCCCCCAAACCAAAGTCCTTAGGCACTCAAGTTTCCAATAGAAAATGGTGCATCTTTGCGTATAAATGATGCGTATTTGTTCTGATACTTTAAGTGATCTCTAAATTATGTGTAATACCCAATACAACATAAACACTATTAATACACAGAACATTATACTATATTTTATCTTTTTAAATTACTGTATCTGTTCTTTTTTAATGCTTATTTTTCCTGAATATTTTGATCAACAGTGAGCTTAATCCACAGATGCAGAACCCCTGGATATAGAACCTGCGGATATATAGACAGCTGACTGTGTTCTCCAACCTCGTTTGCTACTTGGCAGGAAAAAAGGACAGCACGACAAATTCTCTCCCTAAAGTAAAAAGCCGCTGCATCAAAGGACTTACAGGGAGGAAAGGAAAAAGAATAGATTACAGAAAATTAGAACTCTCGAATATAAAGGAAGTAAGTGGCCAATTACAAAAGGATGTTATCCATCTGTTTTGAACTCTACATTTATTCATTTTATAAACTGGTTCACAGATTGGCCCCATGTCCTAGCGATTAAGGAAGCCAGATCACACACGGCTGACTTCATGGTTTGAATCCTGGCCTTGGCAGCTTGGAAAACACAGCAGGCAGGTGTACATGTGTGCCCAACATCCCGACAGAGTGGAGAAATGGAGAACGGATCATGGCATAACTACAGCACTGAGGGGTGCTTTCTCTCTGTCTCTGCATTGTTCCCTGGGAAGCGCAGGTACACTCTAGACATTAAAAAAAAAAAAAAACTGGTTCACATTCCTCATCCCGGTTACTATATTGCATTTTCTGTAATTAAAAATTCCTCTAAAATGTTTTGATGTCACAAATATCCTATCTCACTGAAGTGTCAAGCCATGCCCTGACTGCCTATCATTCCTTCTAGTGATCTCTAACTTTTCTGCCATAAGAATTACAACAACATGCTTGAACAGTGTCAGATTCTGTACCAGCTGGAAGTTCTGTCCGGCAGATTCCCCAACCGTGGGTATCAGTAATCAGTTAAGACATGGGAATTCAAACCACCTGTTTTCTAAATTTGTAGCTGCAAAGCCACGTCCATTTTCTGTGCAGCTGCAGGTGAGAAAGTGCTAGTCAATCTACTTCCTGTTTACTGCTTGCTTATTCAAGTCTAGAGGTTTGGCTTCTGAACATTGACTTTCTATGGAAATCAACCTCTCAAAAGGGGGTGAAAGGCCTAATGTTTTGGTGTAACTAGAAGGATGGTTTCATGAGTTGAGGGTTGATGTATAGAGACTTTGTGGGTTTCAAAGGACGGAAGGATGGAAGGTTTAACTTCTAGCAAGGGGCTAACGTTCTGCATAAAGGTTTTTTTTTTCCCCCTAATGTTTTTGCCATAGGGCACATGCATTTGTTGGAGACAGTCAGTGATAGGAAAAGTGAGATATCATTCCCCCTAGGAGGGATGGCCATGTGCAATCCCTTCTTCTCTAGGGATTTTAGGCATATACACACACACACATGTCTTACATGAGTTTCAAGCTGCCAGGTGTGAAACTATACCACCTGCTTGTCCATCAACATAAAGTTTCCTATTCTGGTTGGATATAAAGACATAGTAGTTGGTACCAGCAGAGGAGTAATGATTACACTGCTGGACTCCCACATAGTTGACCATGGTTCGAGTCCCAGACCCAGCGGTTTAAAACTCATGCTGGGTGCATGTGTGTGCATGCACAAATCCTGGAGAGAATGAAGGAGAAAGAATTGCAGAGTGGCCATTCCCCCTAGGGGGGTGATTTTTTCAGTCCTTCTGTATCTCTGGCAAGCACATGTGCCCTATAACGAAAATCTCTCTAAAAAATTTTTTTTAAACAATAAAAGATACCATGGTCAAACTATGTCACCACCTTGACAGCCAGAGTTGAGTTTATTCATCCAGTCAAAAGGGAGAAGTGAAAGAGAAGGGATAAAATGAAAAAGAAGATCACATTAGGTAAGACATGAGAAGTAACTCTCCCCAGCACAACTTCCAAGAAACCTTGTTTAATTGCCTTTAGAAATTCAGGTTTTAAAAAACTAGCACAAATCCTCAATCCTTTGAACATAAAATACAAAAGACTGAACACCAAAAACTAAAACCATTTGGCAAGAAACCAGCCAGACTGACAAAGCTAATGTGAACAGACGTGAGGCTCTTTGCAGTTTTATCTTCACACTTGGTGCTACTGTCCCTATGCTTTGCTGATGCGTTGGACGTTTTGACCCACTGGAGAGTCCAGTTTTACATGGTGATTTTGTGCTCTCTACCTTGTCCATATCCCCAACTCCCTGTCATGAGTGGAACTCTGTCCTTAAAAAAAGACATGCTGGGGACCAGCAGTTAGCGTAATGGCTATGTCGCTGGACTCCCACATGGTCGACCGCGGTTCGCATCCCGGACCCGGTGGCTTAAAAACTCACGCCGGGCGCGTGTGCGTGCATGCCCAAGATCCCGAGAGGAGAATGGAGGAAAAGGGATTGCGGCGTGGCCATCCCCCCTGGGGAGTGATTTCTCGCTTTCTGTCTCTATGTCTCTCTCTGTCTGTCTGGCGAGCGCACACGCCCTGTAGTGAAAATCTCCCCAAAAAAAAAAAAAAAAAAGGCAAGCTGAAGTCCTAACCCCAAGGACCTACAAATGTGACCTTGTTTGGAAATCAGGTCTCTGCAGATATAATTAAGTTGAGATGAGGTCATTATCTTCTCTAGGGATTTTAGGCATATACACACACACACATGTCTTACATGAGTTTCAAGCTGCCAGGTGTGAAACTATACCACCTGCTTGTCCATCAACATAAAGTTTCCTATTCTGGTTGGATATAAAGACATAGTAGTTGGTACCAGCAGAGGAGTAATGATTACACTGCTGGACTCCCACATAGTTGACCATGGTTCGAGTCCCAGACCCAGCGGTTTAAAACTCATGCTGGGTGCATGTGTGTGCATGCACAAATCCTGGAGAGAATGAAGGAGAAAGAATTGCAGAGTGGCCATTCCCCCTAGGGGGGTGATTTTTTCAGTCCTTCTGTATCTCTGGCAAGCACATGTGCCCTATAACGAAAATCTCTCTAAAAAATTTTTTTTAAACAATAAAAGATACCATGGTCAAACTATGTCACCACCTTGACAGCCAGAGTTGAGTTTATTCATCCAGTCAAAAGGGAGAAGTGAAAGAGAAGGGATAAAATGAAAAAGAAGATCACATTAGGTAAGACATGAGAAGTAACTCTCCCCAGCACAACTTCCAAGAAACCTTATTTAATTGCCTTTAGAAATTCAGGTTTTAAAAAACTAGCACAAATCCTCAATCCTTTGAACATAAAATACAAAAGACTGAACACCAAAAACTAAAACCATTTGGCAAGAAACCAGCCAGACTGACAAAGCTAATGTGAACAGACGTGAGGCTCTTTGCAGTTTTATCTTCACACTTGGTGCTACTGTCCCTATGCTTTGCTGATGCGTTGGACGTTTTGACCCACTGGAGAGTCCAG